TTCCTTCCTTCCTTCCTTCCTTCCTTCCTACCTACCTACCTACCGAGCTGAAACCCTTCCTGCTGCATTTCAGGGAGACAGTTACACTCCCAGCCGGTCTGAGCAAAGCCGTCCCCTTCTGGGACTACCTGTGCTTTGCTTCTGCCTGGAAGATTCATCTAGTGGTGCAGGGCCAGGCCAGAAAGCAGGGGACGGCGAGTTCTAGTTCCGCCTTAGCCAAGAAACTTTGGGCGGCTCTCTCTCAGCCCAGCCCACCTCACAGGGTGGTTGTTGTGAGAAAATAGGAGGAGGAAGGAATATGAGGCATGTTCACCACCTTGAGTTATTTCTAAAAATAAGAAAGGCAGGATAAAAAAATCTAAAGAGAAAGATTCATGTCTAGAACCCTGGGCCGGAGGGATCCGGAGGACAACGGGGCACTCTGGAGCTCCCCATAGTCTGTCCATCCCAGAACCTTGCGCATGGCTAGTAGCCCACTTCCCCTGCCCTGGTGCCCCCAAGTGTCCTGGGCTACAGCCCCCATCCCCTCTGGTCCAATATGGGGCGGGGTCTTCTGTTGTTAGCCGTGGGGGAGCAGCAGTCCCTGCAGAGTTAGTGCAAGACAGCCGCTCCGGGCTAAAGCGTGGGGTGGCTTCTTCTGCCCCTCTGCCATGGGAGGCAGAGCCAGCAGAGCAGGACGTTGGAATCGGGGTAAATCAGAATTGGGGGTGATGGGGGTCAGGGCTGTGGGCACGGGCAGTGCACTGTGCACCTTCCTGTGCGGTGGGCAAGGAGGCGGTGGGGAGTGCGGGTGTCTGCAGCTGCCCAGGCCCTTCCTGGGCCTCCATCTCTATCATCTGCCCCGTCCTGCTTCTCTTTACTTTCATGCCAACTGAATCTTTGGCGTCAATTGCGAGTTTTGTGCCATCTGCCCCAGGCCCATTCTGAGCAGGGGCAGGGAAGGGAGCGAGCCCCTGGTCTCAGTGGGCAGGAGGCAGTGGGGCCCTGCTCTCCAGAGGTGGCACGGCAGGAGGAAGCAGCAGCGGGAGGAGGGGCTGGGGGCGAGATCCGAGATCTGAGAAGAGGGCCGTGCCCTTGCCCCCCCCCTGCTTCTCCGCTTCCAACTGCTGCATGGCTCTCCTCCTTTGCAAAGCTGCAAGGAAGCTCTCTGGAAGGTCTTCTGGGTCCCTCATGCCCTCTGGCAGCTGGCCCAGAACCACTGCCAGCCTGGGCGGAAAGGAACCGAGGCTAGGTGACCTACTTAGGATGCAGAATTGGATTTCAGCAGTGGCGTGTGCGCGCGTGTGCATGCACGTGTGAGAGAGAGAGGGGCTGGTGAGTGTAAGGTGCTGCCTGTTGTGAGTCAGCTGGGGGCGGGGGTGGGCGGGGAGAGGCTGGCCTGGTAGGCAGGGGAGCGCTT